CATATGCTATCTCTGCTTTCACTCACTTCCTTTCCATTTTATTCGGAATTGATCAGCAGAAAAATGGCGCTGGGGCTGTTGTTTTTCCTGATAATTAACCTACATTTAGTTATCAGTGCCACACATTTTCATGGATATGCAGGTATTAGCTTAATTTAGGTGTTCTTTGACTTAGTTTTTGCAATGGGTGTTTATGATCTGTTTGTGTAGTGGATAAACTAATGGAAATCAATGATGGGTGTACAATGTGATTCAGATTTTGAATTTGGGGTTTTTGTTTGCTTGGATAAGTGTTTCTCTAGATGAACAAGTGGGAGCTCGGAGATTAGTTCAAAATTAACTTTTTGAGGAAAAATGTTTGGTACTATACATAGTCATCGCAAGTGATTCCTAGTTTTCTACAACATGTCTTGGTGTCTATACTCGATGCCATTGTTTTTTTTGAGAAGATTCGCTACTTGATATTGTTGCTTATGTTAGTTTCTTGTATTTACCTTCCTTTTTAGCCGAAGATCAAACCCCTAATCTTGTCAGAAATCATACTTGAATGATCTGTATCCTGAGTAAAAGAAGAGGTTTAAACCATCTGTATATAGCTGCGGACCATCATTATATACAGAAAAGATTTACCATTGATGTCAAGGAACCTATGGTTTTAAGTATAATATAAAACTATGCTTAACAACGAGTTTAATCTATGTTCACAGACATGATATAAACAGTGATCCCAATGTATTTCAGAGTCTTGTAGTCATATGGAATTCTAGGTATTGACATTTGATATCTTTGTTGTAAGGGCTATGGAAAATGATGATTGTATCATGCTCAGGGCTGTACTATCATCAGGTCACATCTTCAGGATTGTGAATGTTTTTTGGCATTTTCTACGAGTAGTGCAAAAGTGCTAGCATAATCAAAAAAAGTTGGCCAATGAAGTATGCTTTTCTGATGTGAATTATACCAGTCACCCTATGAAAAAAAATTACTGGCTGCAAGTACTACTGCAGAAAATCTCATGAAAAACAAAATTCTTTTAGCATCGTTGTTCTTGTCTTGTCACCCTCTTGCTATTTATTTAAAATTTCCTGTTCTCATCCATCTTTCATATTTTCTGTGACACTTAATATGGGTTATGGATAAAAAATGGTCTATATGATAAATTAGATGTTCTATGTTTTTCGCTGTAGTCACCAATCAACACCATTCCAGAAGCCACAAAAGTATTGCTCTTCCCCCAACCAAGTCATCTTATGGAGTTCTTGCAAGTATTGCACTTCCACCTTCTAAGTCATTATCTAAAGCTCCTATAAAGGAACGGACCCATGGTTTAGTTGATTCTCCAATATTACCTCATAAGCATCACCATTCCAGAAGAAAGTCCAGTGAACCAGCACCAGAGCCAACTTACTCGGTTCATCCCCCTACCTACAGTCATCAAGGTTAGATTCTGATTTAGAGAATAGGAAAACATTCTTGTGCAAATTAATTCATTTTGGCATTAGTTATTAATATAATTGACAATTATTATGAAAACTTAACTTACAGGCATAGGTCCTTCTGTCTTCGAACCACAACCTCCTTTCTCTTTACCAACAGGCTGGAAATTACCTGCACCTGCACCTGCACCATCACCAGCAGTTCTATCAGGCCACTTAAATGGTATGAAAAACATCTATTGTGACCTTTGCTATTACCTGTGTACTTATTCTTTATCCACCATAACAAGTGATAGGTATCTCAGATAGGTTGTTTCCTTTGTCCATTAGTGCCCTCTCCTTCCCCTGGAATTTCATCTCAAGGTTCATCATCGAGGAAGATGAAGACTCCACCAATAGCACCTGTTTTGGGTCTGCCACCTCCACCTCCTAATAAGGGTACTTTCAACTTAATCTGCTACCCTATCTGTCCTAGAAGATTAATTATATTACTTTGGTGCCTTCTTTTCTACTCATCGTAAGAAATCCTATGATGTTGAATTTGGCTGTAGATTGTATATGGGTGACTTGCTCAGAGCCCTTTACATATGCACCTCCTGGATCACCTTGTGGTTGTGTATGGCCACTTCAAGTTAAGCTTCAACTTGGCATTTCAATATACAAGTTCTTTCCATTGGTGTCAAAGCTAGCTGAGGAAATTGCTGTCAGTGTTTTACTGAATCATAACCAGGTTCGCATCGTGGGAGCTGATGAAGCTAGCCAGCAACTGGAGAAAACTATTGTTCTCGTAAACTTGGTACCCAAAGGATCAAGATTTGATGATGCAACCGCATTTTCAATATATAAGAAATTCTGGCACCGGGAGATCCACACAGATGCTTCACTTTTTGGTGCCTGTGAAGTACTATATGTTCATTATCCAGGTTACAAATTGATTTCCAGTTCACTTGGACTTTTCTTTCGTTTTTTTGGTATTTATTTAGTTTTATTAATAGATTTCCGCATTGGTTCTTACTTTTTGTTAACATATGCACAGGTCTTCCTCCTTCTCCACCTTCAACTCCTTCAGGCATTTCTAATGCAGATGATAGCCCATTATTCCCCGATCATGACAACAATGGAACAATGATGAAACCTTTGGGAGTGGCTATACCAAGGAAAGAAAAGACAGGGAGCGGGAAAAGCACAATTTTAGTAATTGTGCTGTCATCTTTTACAGCTTTTATTATATTTCTTGGATTTGCTTGCCTTTGTCTGATGAAACGTTGCCCTTGTGTTCATGAATCTAAACAAATTCCAAAAGCTGTTCCATCCTCTTCAAAACTGTCAGGTAAAACAAACTATCTATTCATTCAATTCTTTTGGCAATGATATATTGCCAAGATGGTATAGTATTATGCACTTGTTTCTAAAAATAATTCTGAAGCATCTTACTTATTTGAATTTCCTTTTAATAGAAATGGTTTTGATGCCTTCCTAGTTAAAACTTGTGTCTGGTTTTATGATCTTTTTTTTATATTTTACTTTCAACTCTCCATCTTAGTTTATCATTTTAAAGAGTCTAAATTTATTAGTTGTCTCTTCAATCTTTGGTTGCATCAATTTAAATATATAACCATATTTGCACTTAGCAGGGACGGCCACGTCATTGACTAATAGGAGCATGCCAAGCACTGGTTCTATGCCCTCAAGTTCTAGAACAGTAACATATACAGGATCTGCCAAGACTTTTACTCTGAATGACATAGAGAAAGCAACTAATAACTTTGATGCTTCAAGAATATTAGGAGAAGGGGGCTTTGGGCCTGTTTTTAAAGGGGTCCTATGTGATGGAAGGGATGTGGCTGTGAAGATTCTCAAGAGAGATGATCAGCATGGTGGCCGTGAGTTCTTAGCAGAAGTTGAGATGCTTAGCCGTCTGCACCATAGAAATTTAGTTAAATTAATAGGTATATGCATAGAGAAACAGACTCGGTGCCTCATCTATGAGCTTGTCCCTAATGGAAGTGTAGAATCCCACTTACATGGTAATTCATGGGCGTTATCCACACTTTTAGAAGCCAAAATCTTTGGATATTCTTCATAGGCTAACTTTTGAGTTCTTTATATGTTCTCAGGTGCTGACAAGGAAACTAACCCACTTGATTGGAATGCCCGGATGAAGATTGCACTTGGAGCAGCTCGGGCCTTGGCTTATCTGCATGAAGATTCAAATCCATGTGTCATACATCGGGACTTCAAATCCAGCAATATCTTGTTGGAACATGATTTTACACCAAAGGTTTCAGATTTTGGATTAGCAAGAACTGCCCTGGAAGAGGGAAACAAGCACATCTCCACACATGTTATGGGAACATTTGGGTAATAAATGTCATCCCCCTTTTGGCCTTCTTAAATTTTTCAAGCATTGTCATGCATGTAATAGTAAAAAAGTATTTACAATGTTCTTATTTGGATCCAAAGCCTTATGTTTGATGGACTATTAAATTTTTTATCAGGTGCTTTACCATCTTATGTGCATTTTGTTAACATGGAGTCACGAATACTAATTTAACCTTGCTGATATATTGCCTTGCAGCTACCTAGCACCCGAATATGCAATGACGGGCCATCTTTTGGTCAAAAGTGATGTTTACAGTTATGGAGTTGTACTCCTTGAGCTCCTAACTGGAAGAAAGCCTGTAGATTTCTCACAACCACCTGGTCAAGAAAACCTTGTTACTTGGATTCGTCCACTTCTCACGAGTAAGGATGGTTTACAGATGATCATAGACCCGGTTGTAAAGTCTGAAATAACTGATGATTCAGTTGTAAAAGTTGCAGCAATTGCATCAATGTGTATACAACTGGAAGTCTCTCAACGCCCATTCATGGGCGAAGTTGTTCAGGCTTTGAAGTTGGTTTGCAGTGAGCTTGAGGAAAAAAGCACAAGAAGATTAAGGAGTTTCCGAGAAGAGGGCCCTCAAGCCAACGTTGATGAACAATCTTCTAGAATTTCAGGTGATATAGTGGACTTTTCAGATCATAAATCCAAAGTAGCATTATCAACGTCTGAGTTTTTCAGCACATCAGGCCAGTATTTTAAGTCCTTCAAGAGGCATTCAACTTCAGGGCCTCTCACTACAGGAAAGAAAAAGCATTTCTGGCAGAAACTGAGGAGTTTGTCTCGAGGGAGCATGAGTGAGCATGGTTCTTCAGCTCAACGATGGTCTGGTTCTCAGTAACTTCTCAGCCGCATGACTGAAATGTTTTTCTAGGTAGGCAGTGCCTATCATGTTATTTATAGGTCATACTTACAAATGAGTGAGAGAAAACGTACAACTTAGATGTGATGAAAGACTCTCGTTGAAACTTGTGTGCCGGCCCTTGTTGTGAGTATAGTCCATGAATAACATTGTACACACGGCCTACTAAGCTTGAGAAAGCAAACTACAAGAGAACATGTTCATTGATGACTTTTTTGCTTTGGGTGAGAATTAATTACTTGATTTTTATTCTAGAATTGTATTCAAAGGGAGTTTCATCCGTGAATGGTGAATTTAAAGGATTACAGATCATGGGATATATAAGTAAATTTGATGTTGATCTCTACATGGGATATATAAGTACACTTGTGCAATTGTCAACAACCAAGATTCCACCAAAACAGAAGATAATAATACATTACACCAAAATGATTCTTCCCAGTAAAACTAAGGCATCTTTGTTTACTAATGATCATTTTGTTTACTGACCATTTCAACAAATATATACCACATCAACTTCCAATGTTACAACTTACATAGCTCATCTTATATCATCATACCACTGTATTCTTCCCTAACCTGATTTGCGCACCCTATCTCCTAAAATCTTCAGTCCCATGTACCTGTGATAAACATAAATTGATTAGTTGACAAGATATGGATAGTATGAGCATCAAAATAATTTTAATGGGTTCCTGTTGCATATTATTGATGCCCAAAATGGTATGCCTATTTGTTGGTTGGCCAAACTAGTAGGCCGTTATGCTCGAGTATGTTAGTCTAAGGCTATGTGTATCAAAATATTTCTTGATGGAAATCTAGAGGATATTACAATTTACAGGTTCCCTAAGTGCTTTTAGTGCGTGTTTGGTTTTTCAGAAGAAATCAGCAAAAACTAGTTTCCAGCATGAAACTAAACATGTACCTAGTTTTTTGTGGCTAAACCAAACTTGTGCTAATAGCTAAGGAAGTTTTTAGGCTTTGAAAACTGTTTACAAGTAATACGCGCATATGTACATGCACATGTTTAAATCAAAAGCGAATAATCAAAATAAAAACAGAACTATTTAATTTTAAAATTATTTTCTATTAAGCTCAACTATCAATTTTTGATTTCAAACGATGATTGATGATTCACCTTACTTCTTAACGACTCCTCTCAATATATGCGTCTGATGGGGCAGTTTATTGCAAGACGTATTTATTACTATACATTGCAAGATGTACTTATTACTTATGTATGGTCTCTGAGTGCATACCTGCCCATCATCATGACAGTAGCTTGAGGATTAGTCCCTGGTGATTCTGTAAATGTTGAGCCATCCACCACACGTAGTCTGTCAACTCCAAGAACCTTATATTCAGAATTAACAACCTTGCCCACGTGGCACCCACCATGGTAGTGCCAGATTGTGATCACAGTGTCTCTGCAAAACTGCTCCAGTGATTGCGTGTCATTGAGTGCTTGGGTATGAGGTTCACATTGGCCTTCACAGTGAGGTTAAGCAGTTTCTCTGTGGTTTGTCGGGCACACATGGTGTAGTTTGTGAAGTGCTCAGACTGCACAACCTTGGTGGCTATTCTGATACCCTCAACACAACGTTGGAGATCATGTGGGTGACTGAAATAGTTGAAGGTAACAGAAGGGTTGTCTTCTACATTGGTGTTGATCAACTTGAGATCACCTACAGACCAAGGGTTGGCCACTTTTGACAATATGAAACCTCCCCTGAATGCTTCAATCGGGAGATTGCGCTTGTTCTTGGTAAAAGCAAGAACAGCTTCTCTTGATCTTTGCTTGGGAGGGATTGTGGAGAGCTGGCCAATCTGATTTATCATGCAAAGGGAAGAAGAATGAATTCCGATGACGTATGTAGCTTGGAAGTTGAATATTTCAAATTTAGAAGTGAAAAGACAAGAAGTAAGTTCCATGCATATATTCACTTTTGGTATTGGTACTCTCTTAGTACAAAAACACTTTAACTTTTGAGAAAATCTCAACAACATCAGCAAACGGTTGAGCACAATTTTTTTTTTTTATTCTTTCCTTCATGTCATTGAGAAAATTTGTCAAATATATTGCACGCATACCTCAGCAGACAAGATTCCATGGTGACAGTGAATGCTATCAGTGGACTGACTAAACCCACAGCTAGCTTCTAGGTAGACTCCACGTTTAGTAATACCCACAGTCTCAATGAGTGACTGATGAACTGGTCTATTGGAAGGAACAAAAATGGTGTTCATGGGGTTATCAGCCATGCCTTTCCCAACAAAAAGTTATCAAACACCACTGGGATCTTAAAGTTCTGGAGCTGCTCTTTTGGGCCAATCCCGCTTAGCAGAAGCAATTGAGGAGTCCCAATTGCCCCACTAGACACTATTACTTCATTCTTCCTTCCATTCCCCAGATTTGCCTGATGGATTTTCCCATTCTCATCTTTGAATATCACTCCCACAGCTCTTGGCCTCTTACCTGCAAAAAATCCCATTTCAAACTTTGTTGGGTTCAAGAGTGGTAAATCAGTCAACGAATATGAAAAGAGCAACTAGAATCAACAATCCTATCAGTTCTATTCCTACTGTCAATAAAAGAAACAAACAACAAAACATCACTATCTAAATAAGTCCGTCTCAACAACACTAGCTTTAGTAGAATTTGGAGATTGTTTATTTTTTTCCTTCTATTTCCAACTTATTTTTAAGCCTTTAACACCGAAAAATTCCATGGCCTAGCTTCTTGCAATAATTACACGTTTTATTATCCTTTTTATATTTATGTTTCTCAGACTTAGATTTTTTTTTTTTAATATTTTCCCCTTATTCACTTCCTGCATTTAAACCTTTACCTTTATCTTTAGAAAGGGTCTAAGATCAAAAAAAAATTTTAAAACAAAAAATTAAATTTCACATCTTCAAAAGCTAAGCTGCCTGAATTTCTATATAACATAATTTCTTTAAAATGTTTATAAGAGAGAGCCAACGAGATAATCAACAACGCAGCTTTATCTTAATGGAGATCCTCTCTCTTCTTTCAACGAGAGACTCTTAAAAAAAAAAAAAAAAAGCTTACCTTTAGTATCAAAGACGATTTTGTGGACGGTGGCGTAGGTGAGAACAGTGAGTTTATATGGGTTGGCAGAAGCGAGAAGCTCAGCAGCTGTGTGGCGACGACCGAACCGATCAAAAATGGTGCCACCAACCTTGGTGCCATAAATATGATCATACGTGAAACCGTTGAAAGGAGAGATTCCTACGTCCAGAAGGCTGTCCTTTACTGCTCTCTGAAACGCGGAGAACTTAGGCCAATGCACTATTTGCTTCTCCACCCACTCGTATGACTCGTTCACCACCTTCGCATCCCACCCCACTCTCTTTATAAACCTGCATTAGTTCAGCCACCGTATCTCATATTTCTATGTAATCAGGAACTAGGGCTTGTTGGGATTCTAGAACTTGCAAACTGAAATTTTGGAATTCAAGTTACAAGAAGTTTGGAAAAAGGCACTTGGAAAAATTACCCAAAGAGTCCCGCAAATTTATTTAAATACAAAAATACAAAACAAAATTAATATTCTTTACTAAAGTTGTCAACTGATCGTTAATTATTAAACTTTAGTTATGAATTGAGCAACTCTATTAACAACTATCCGCCAGTGAGCAGCTAGTAATTGATAATTTTGATAAAGGATATGTAACTTCAAATTAATTGTTAATTTTTATGGAATTTTTTATATTGAGATTTTTTATATGAAATTTTGCAGCAATTTTCTCAAAAAACTTTTATTAAAAAAAAAAAAACCACTTCAACTAAGTGTCCTATACTTCTATCCCTACCATGGTTTTGGCCCCTTTGACTGCAATCCAATCAGCTACAAGCACCGACTCATGGGGTCCAGTAAAATGTATTATAAATTTTATCATATATTCTACTATATTGATGTTAGTATATAGGATGAATTAAGTAATATTATTCACAAATCATGCATATGTTAACTCTTTTTAAATTTCATATGATGCATAGAAAAATATATTTGGCTGATATCAATGTCAATAGATCATCAATATATCAATATACAACAACAACAAACAGTATTTTAAATGTGGAATGTGTTACTGGAAAAAAAAAAATTAAATTCCTTATTTGATAAGTTCCAGTTTCCTTCGTGACCCTGACAAAAATTTGATAGAAGAACTCATGAGTGTACTAAAGTTATTGTTTTTAAAATTTGATTACATACATGATAGCAGGATTTAAAAAAAAAAATTGACTCTCTTAATGTTGAATTATCAATTACATAAATTATGAATTTTTTTTAATGTTACTTTCTCGTTGGATAGCATGATTAAAATTATGGCTTATTTTGACGTTGACATAGATCTGCTCTTTTGTCGTTTAGCTGCACGAAGGTTGCAAGTAGCAAGCGTCAACATCTACGTTCCCTGCGTTTTGAGGGACATTACTTAAAATGGTTAATGATTGTGCTTATTGTTTTTTAAGATCCGGCACTTGAAAATGTCCCTGTTATTTAAAGACTAACTAAACGGGGCAGCCCGAAATTCATTTGCAAAATTTAATGATAATTTAAGACTAAAAAAGAATTGTGGCCCCAATGAAAATTAATGAGCCATAATCTAGTACTGTTTATTATAATTATAAGTGGTTCCAATACAGTTGAGAGCAGCGAATTTAGGTAAAGTTCACCATACTAAGAAAGAGAACAAAATTGGAAAAACAATACTCCCACCAATTAAAAATATAGGATATTTTTTATTAAATTATATTTATGAATTAAATTTTTTATATTTATTTTTATTTAATAATTTGTTTCACTTAAAAAAAAGGGCTGAATAATTTATTTATTAAGGATATTTTAAAAAAATTATTAATTACATATTAAAAACTAAAAATGCCTTATACTTGCTCCATTTCATATTATAAGACACTGTTTAACAAAATATCATATATTAATAGGTTTTATTAAATATATTTCATAACATTTTTTAAAAATAAAAATATAAAATTTTAAAAATATCATCCATTTAATATATTGAAAAAAGAAAAATATAAGTAAAGAGGGAGAGAGAAAAGAAATAATATTAAAATAAGCTTATTTAACAAAATATTAATATTTTTAAAGTGTCATGCATATTGATATGTCAAATTTTCTCTAAAAATATTTTATAATTTGAGATGGAGGGAGTAGTATTTTTTTTTTTTTGCACATAATATTAAAAAATATTTTATATTTTTTAATAAGGGAGTAACTTTTTATTTTAAAATTTTGTAAAATCCACCCAACTTTATCATCCCTTGATTTTAAGGAATCCTGATCATATTTCAAAGCTATGAACACAACCATGTCACCAACTCTGGCTAAAAGTAATGAATATACATGTTCATGTTATTAGTAGTTAATTTTGTTAAGTGTGATTCATACTATGTAAAAGACAAAAATAAAGGAGAATAATTATTGTTGAGAAAATCAACAAAGTCTTTTTTAATAAATGCAGCAGTGCTTCCTTTGCCTTAAAGAGAATGAAAATTTTGTTAAAAAACCATAAGTGAGAATACTTAAAAAGCCATCAAGTTTGGAGGCTTTTATTTTATTTCTTTTCTTCTAAAAACAATTTTTCTTACCTTGAGCTTGCTCTGGTGTAGAAGCCAGCATTAATGGAGCTCCCACCTCCCAAAACCCTAGCTCTGGCATTAAGAACACCATCAGTGGAAATGAAGTACTGGGAAGCTGAAGATGGTGAAATATCAGCCAAAGTGATATGAAAATTCTCCAGAAATGACACATTAGGGTTTGTGAAAGGTATGCCCCCTCTTTCAAGAAGCAAAACCCTAAAGTTTTGGGACAGTGTTGAAGCCAGAGGGCAGCCCGCAGTTCCACCTCCCACAATTATATAATCATAAGCATTGTTGCTGGGAGTGGTTGATGTTGATGATGATGATGATGAGAACGAGCTTGCCTTTTTCAGAAATGGATATCTGTATTTGGTATACCAGTTCTGCTTGTTACCTGCAGGCAGGTGAATTTTTCAGTCACTTTTTTTTTTTTTTTTTGTGTGGGTGCAATTATAGCTTCTTGAGGTGTCCGTTGCTTTCTCTCTTGAACAATTTTTTGGAGCCAGACAAAAAAGGAAAGAAAAATCAAAACATGGAATTTCTGTGAAGATTATAATGTGTTTGATTGAATGTCACAATGAAACAGCAGCTGATGATCATTATGGACACAACCCATTAATTATTAGCCTTTCAGTCAGATTTGTCTGGTTTATGATTTAGCAGACAAAAAAGTGGAATTTTAGTGAAGAATATAGTATGATGTGTTTGATTCTATACCAGAAGGAAGCAGCATATTATCATCATAAACAAAACCCATCATATCTTTCAGTTTCAGTCACACTTTGTTCAATTTCTGACTTGTTCATGATTTTCTGCTTTGATTTAATAGAGTTTGATGAGAAGCAAAAAGGAAATCAGGATCAAAAAGAAGAAAACAAACAGGGCTATATATGGTATCTATATCTGGGGCTGGCAAGAAGAAACAGCACAAGATCATCATCACATCACAAGCAAAACCTATTAGACGTAAAGTTCACACCTTTTTCAATTCGTTAGTCTCCAACAAAAGTTTTGGACAAACCCAAGTAAAATTACAGGCAAAAAGAGGAAAAACATGAAGCTAAGCAATAAAGCACATGACTTTGTCTCTGTCTGGATGTGTTGTTTTCTGAAAATCGCAATGAAAAACATAGTGTGCCTGTGTTAATGCCAAAACCAAGCAGCATAAAGTTTTTCATAAAAAGAAAAGAGAAACTCAGATTGATCCACCACATTCCCAACAAACCAATGATAATGTAGAGAATAGATAGACTTTGGACTTTGGAGTTTTCTTTCTAGCCTTGAAAACAGAGGACCCTTTAATTGATATTGTAATGAAAGTTAGCATTCTGCGCAGAGAAGTCCTGAAAACAGAAGCAGAATGCTAGTAGAGAAGAAGAGTATAATTTTATTATTATTAATATTATTATTATTTGTGAAGAAGAAATAAAGAAGAAGAGAAGAGAGCACCTTGTGAAGGAGGGAGAGAGAGGAAGAGGCAGAGGAGTAATGAGCAGAGAAAGAAGTTGACTGCAGAAACATAGGCCATTGAGTCTCACAGGGCAGAGACTGATGAAGCTGTTTCTTTCTCCTCTCTAAGTGGCTGCCTCTGGTTGGCCTTGTTTTGTGTGTTCCCGCCCTTTATATATACAGACAAAATTAAATTATTAAAATATTACAGAATTCATTCCTTTTTGTACTATCCTTCTTTCATATGTGGCTAATTTCTATTCTGTCTTTATTCATCTAACAAAAGTTTTCCTAAACTTGTTTTCTTTCTTCTAAAAGCAGTTCAGCTTTTTAGTTTCTACCTAACAAAAGAGTATGCTTTAATTATAATATGAATGTAAATACCATAAAGGAAAATGTATCTTTAGGATGGATATGTATCATGCAAAAAAAAAATATATATATATATATATATTGACTAAAACAAGTTATATATACTTAGACATACTCCCTTTGGTCCCAAGAGCACATTTTATAATTTTTATTTGGTCCTATTTATATAAGTTATGATGTGAATTTTTAAGTAATATTTTTAAAATTATCCTTTATGAAAGAAAAAAATAACATGATATTACTTTTTAAATTTTTGATATAGAACCATATTTTAAAATTTAACGCTCTTTTACTCTTTTTATTTTTTTGCATTGATATTAGTGAGATTGATAGAAATAATTTATAAAAAGAACAAGAGGAGGAAATGTTTCTACCAAAGTGTTTAAGCATATATGAATATATTATTATGTGATTACGGTATTTTCTATATGAAACAACTTTCAAAATATGTGTACATATCATCGAGACTACTCTCTAAGTGTCATTTAAATTTTGAATAATCATGGTACATATATATGTATATATATAAATATTTATAAATATATACTGTGTAAACAAACCCAAAAAACATAGTTTTTAGTTCTTATAACTGTAGTCAATTTAGGTCATGACTATTAAAGTTTTATCATTAAAGAATCAGTTTTAAAGTTAATGTGATCAACTTTGGTTGAACTCTAAAACATCATTATCATATCAATGCTACATCATCTTGAAAGACTATAACCAAAGTTGATTGTAATTTTAAAATCTTTTAATTAAAAATCTAGAGAGTGTCTCACTTGACAAAAAACTATGACATCAATTAATGAAGGTTGGGTCTAATATAAAAAATTAGTTTTTCATAATGTGGCGAACTAATATTTAAATCTCTATTGAAAAACGTATTTGCATTTAATGCTCGATAGTATTTTAAACATAATTATTTTTAATAAAAAAATGCAAAAAAAAAAACTATGTTATCAATACATGTGAAAGTTAGATACTCTTTTGGTTAAAAAGAAGAAGAAGAAAAAACTATGTTATCAACACATGTGAAAGTTAGCTACTCCTTTGGTTCCTATTACAAAACATCTTTAACTATCTCACTAAAACAAAAACAAAAGAGAGAGAGAGAGACAGAGAGAGAGAGATGATTAAATCATCAAAATTTTATAAAAATAGTATAAACTTCCAATTTCATGCTTGTTTAAATGAAAATTTTTAAAGTTTGCATTATCTTCTATCTTATAACTAATGAGTTTAAATAGAGATAAAATTTAAAAAAATATAATTAATATCTTATCAAATGTCTTATATTAAAAATAAAAAAATTCTTTTAAAAGATATCATATAATAGGGATTTAATAAAAAAATTCTTTTAAAAGATATCATATAATAGGGATTGAAGAGAGTACATTTACGTGTGTGTTTAATTTTTAATTTATACATGATAAAAGTTTATTTAGAGAATTTAACTATTGATTAAATTTGACAATATTATATCTAAAATATCATTTAAATGTGTTTTTAAATGTTACCAAATAGACCCGTACATCAAGGCTGAAGTGAGTAGGAAGGAAATGGCTTATGTTTGGCCAAAAAAATAACCAAAAAAAGAAACAAATTAGAGAAGAAAAGTGAATCATTAAAAAAAAAAAAAGAATAGAAAGGAGTGAAATAGACATGCAGAATTAAGAAGAGGAACGGAATTAGAGGAAGTCATTTAATGGCGAAATGAATAGGTCTTCCACGTGGAGATCTCATGGCCGTTGGATCTGGCAATGCCTCCTATCGTACAATGACAGCTCACTTATCCCTCCATATTCATTCTCCCATCCCATCCCATCTCTTCTATACTCTCTTCATTTTTATATATAAAATATTTTTTAAAAATTTATTTTACTTTTAAATATAAAAGATAATAATAATATTTTTAAATAATTAAATAATTTTATTCTTATTTTAAAAAAATAAAATAGATCATTAATTATATATTTTTTTATCACCATCATGATATTAATTATGATATTATTAGAAATAAAACTGAAAAATCATTGTGTTTATATATGATTTTAACTAAATAATAAATTTTTATTGTTATGTAAAATTTAATTAAAAATACCTTTTATATAGGGATAGAGGGAGTATCTCCTTCCACCTTCCTAATTATAAATCCAAATTTTTAGGCTTGTTTATTGTATCCCTAATGCAGTTAATGTTATTAACTAATTTAAATTTAATATAGGAGATGAAACAAAATAATTTTTTAAACATAACTTTCTTTCTTTCTTTTTTGGCACATAAGTTTAAAATTCAAAACCTTTCTTAAAAAATATTAAATTGCTGGTACCATTTAATTCAATCCCATTCTGCAAAAGTTTAAAATTCAAAACCTTTCTTAAAAAATATTAAATTGCTGGTACCATTTAATTCAATCCCATTCTGCGGCGGTGACAGTGATATCTTGTGCATACATGGACAGGCATTAGGAGAAATAGGTATTTGGCCAACAAAAAAACAAAAAAAAGGCAATAGGTATGTCCATGTTGACCGGTAATTATGACAATATTTTTATATTACTATAATTTTTTTCATGTGACTGTAATATGATTCAATACTTTATGTATTACTAATGATTAATATGTCTATTTCAGTGTTTCACATTATTGTTCCTTTTTCTTTTTAGCATAATGCCATTCGATAATATATTTTAATAATGAAAGATGTTGCAATACCAAGAACACGAGAATTTTGAATTTCTCATGATCATAAAAATAATAAAATATAATGGGATAATCCAAATGGAGAAAAAAAACAAACTTTTATAAATGATTTTTTTTTTTATTATTCATAGTATCTTCTTGTAGAAGATAATTTTATTTTAGGTGTAAGTATAACTGAATTCTAAATATGAATACTTATGTCATATTCAAATTTTGGCTCATCCATCATGTTGTGTGGACACATGATTTTATAATTTATTTATGTATATCAAATTATCAATAACAAAGTGAAAGATAGGTGGGAAGCCCTTTAATACATGTGTACCATTAAGCTAAACTCTCAAATCTGAATTTATTATTTGTTTTTATTTTTTCGTATGTTAATTTGCACATGCTTCCTTACAGTCAAATGTTAGAAAGCCGTATTATTAATATGATATATAACAAATTCAGAACACATTATAATGCTATGTTTGGATATATATGAAGTTGGATTGAAGCCAAATTCATTAGTTGAGTAATTACAAATTTATGAAAATCCAAATTCAAGTTTCACCGTAATCTCTTGATAATTTAAAATTCTTTTCTAAACCTCTATTATTTTAAATTATAACTCAATCTCTTTTTGTAGTTGGACTGGACCATCGAAGTTAATGGAAATAAGCTGCCACCATTGACCAAGATCAGAAGGCTAACTTCCATTAAAACTATATTGATGACAATGATTGGGACAAGATGGCTGGACTAGACTAACGATGATGTCAACGACGAGGACCAGACGATCAACTTGCATCAATACTAGATCAATAGTGACAGTGGGGACCTAACGGCCAACTTCAATAGGAACCGAACCGATGGCAACGACAATGACAATGACGAGGAGCGAATAGTCTAGTTCCATTAGGATTGGACTGATGACAACAATCGAGATGGGACAACCGACTTCCATCGGGACCAACCCAACTGCGATGACCGAGACAGGATTGCCTACTTTGACCAAAACTAAACGGAAGACTACTATCAAGATTGGACGGCTGACTTCTATCAGGTCCAATCTTAATAGAAGTTGGCCATCCTGTTCAAGTGAAAGTTAGCCGCCGTCCTATCCCAATGGTTGCCTTTAGTTTGGACACAGTGAAAGTCGGTCTTGATAATCTCAATCCAGTCCCTATGAAAGTCGACCGTTTGTTCCCTATCATCGTTGTTGGTTTGGTCATAGTGAAAGTTGGCTGTCCTTTCTTGATCACCCGTGCTATAGTTCTAGTTAGCTTTGACTGTTTGATCCTAGTGAAAGTTGGCGATTCTGACTGTTGACTTTTATTAGTTGTCTAAGTTTCTTTTAAATTTAAATATAAAATTTAAAATTTAAAATTTTTCTTTAGATCCAAACAAATAATTTTAATATTATAATTTGAAATTTTTTATATCATCCAAACAAGGAATTTAAAATTTATGAATTTTAAATATGAAATTTTAAATTCAAATTCCTAATTTAAATTCACCTATCCAATTGCAACCCAATATTATTTATGAATAATAATAAATACTACAAGTTGCTTCAAATGCCGGGTAGACATGAGCAAATATGTTTAATCAAGAGATGGTCCCCAAAAAATGTTTGTTCAAACAAAGGAATGAAAGAAAAACTTGTAATGAAATTGAAAACTTAGTTGTCCCAAAATCCCACCCAACATTTTTGCAGTAGACGTTTGGTATGAGTAATATTTTTTGTTAAATTAGTTAAAAGAGGAAAGAGAAAAATAATAGATGAAAACACCAAAATTTCAATAACATTTTAATGCTCTCTTAACAACTTTAATATTAATTATAAGTTACTCTTAAAAATTTTGTTAAGGGTAGGAGGTTTTACAGTCTTGAATTTTTCTTAAAAAATTCAAAATTATCCATTAATATATTTCTTTGATAAAATCCATTAATATATTTCTTTAAAAAATTCAAAATTATCCATTAATATATTTCTTTGACAAAATCCATTAATATATTTATTTACCCTAATAATTATATAAAGGAATTATATAAAGGGTAAATTTTTGTTAAAAA